ATATATATATATATATATATATATATATATATATATATATATATATATATATATATATATATATATATATATATATATATATATATATATATATATATGAATAAAGATATGTACAATAACTTTTGGAACATTAATTTAAATGGCGAGATTCATATAGTTTATTTATTAGTCGACTACAATCGATTACAAACTGTCACTTAACAATTACTAAAATTGATGGTTGAAAAATCAGAGTGTATTGGACATAAGGAAGAAGCTCTGCCACACCAAACATTTATCGGGCCGCAGAGGAGGAACTTGTCAGGTTATGAGAGAATGGTTGTTCCCATTTCGATGGTAGAGGTGTTTGGTGTCCAGAAGGTGGTGCATCGGCGGCGGTGAAGGTGTTTGATGTCCAGATGGTGGTGTCCCGGGCCGGCCGTCGGTGAGGAGGAGGTAATCGTGGGGTAGAGGTGTATATGAGCTGAGCCGACTTGACAATAGCACGAACTCGAACTCGAGTTTTTCGAGCTCGAGCTTGCTCTTTCGCAGTTGTTCGTGAGCTCACGAGCCGGCTTGCAAGCCTTCTTTTAATTTTAATTTTAATTTTTAAATTTTTTATATATCAATTTTAATTTAAATAATATATAATAATGTAATATACTATAATAAGAACATAAAAGGTACATATAAAAATTAATTACAGTTCTTTTTTTTATTTTTTTATTATAGTATAAATATTTTTTAAGAGTAAAAAATTAGGAAAAAGAAAATCAAAATGAGCTTGACTTAAAAAATACTCGAATTGTTTACCTCGAACTTGCCAAAACAGCCAAGCTCGATCTTAAATAAAATTTGTTTGGGCCTGACTTGAAAGCCCATAAAACAATCAATTAGTCTTCTTTTATTATGACCATCACAGTCCAAACATGGTCTAAATAAAATTATTATTAATTTACGATATTGTAAGTTCAAAAATTGATTTTAATTTTAATAATTAAAAAAAGGATATTAATTTTCATTCACCAAAATTGATTTGAAGCAGTTAAATGGTTTTTCCATATCTACACAATGACTAAACTCAAAACAAAATTTCCCAACAAATCTTACACTATGGCTTCTAAGTTCTATATGCACACCATAATGTTGTTAGAACTGGACCATACCGGCCGGTCAGACTGGTTCGACCGTAACCCGGCAATAAAGTGGTCCGGTCTGACATCTAAAACCGCAAAATAAAAAATCGGGGTCAAGTGACCAAAATTCGGTTCGATCGGGTAAAACTCGAGAACCGACGAGTCAGTCAAGGAATCCGGTTTTTAACCAAAACGTCTCCACCGCTGAGTTGGTTATTTGTGGCTAGATTTGAGTGAACCTTCACAGACTTAGTAGTGGGTGACCCGATCTAGTCATGAGTAGTCGAAGGATTGTCGGATATGATCATTGGTGATCGAATAGAAGTGGCCGATTGCCGGATTTGAAGAATAAAAAATGGAAAAATATAGAGTAAAGCAATAAAATATAGTAACAAGTGAGGTGAAGTAGATAAAAGTGAAAACAATAAGTGAGAGATTAAAAATATAAATAAAATAATATTTTTTAAAATTGAAATTAATAAAATAATGGCATATTAAAAAAAGTCAAAAACCCTGTTGAACTGGTTCGACCCTATAAACCCATGACCCAAATGGTCGTTCGGTTCTATAGTCGGTCCGGTTCTGAAAACATTGCATAAACATCTCCAACAATGTAGAAGCACCGATACTTTTAAGGTTAATAAAGCAAACTAAAAGGAAAAAAGGGAAAATTGCACATCAGCCCCTAAATTTTTTTAATTTCGCACTTTACCCCCTCAAAATTTTAAAAAATGAATGTCCCCATCCAGAATGTTATTATTGTTGCAAATTGCCCCGATAGCAAAATTTCGATGGATTATTCATCGGCATTTGAGTATTTACGTGCACATTGCCCCTTTATACGTTATTTTTGTTGCATGCTACTCTTAAAAACACTATCTTTTTGCACATTGCCCCTTTAAATTTTATTTTTGTTGCGCAACGCCCACAAAAAATTGATCTCTGGGTCAAAATGCAACCAAAATGATATTTTAAATGGGGACTATCAAGTTTTTGATCTTTTAGGGGGAAAAGTACGAAAATTGGAAATTTGTAGGGGGTGAAGTGCATTTCCAAGAAAAAAACAATGGTAAGAGAAAAGAAATGAAGTAAAGAAAAGAGGCAAACAAAATAAACATAAAACTCATTACCATTTAGAAAATCCCTACAAACAAATCAACTGCAAAAAGAATTACCCATCAAGGGATGACCAAAGCTAAGAAAACACTAATAAAAAAAAAACATAACTCTTTAAAGGATCTAAAGACTATAACTCAAGAATCAAAGCTCACCCCACCTACTACTACTAATCTTCCTTTATATCTCTCTCTATATATAACTCCCTCCCTAGATTTTGCCTTCTCAATTCTTCATTCCTCCTCTCTCTACTTATAGCTAAAATTATCGTCGTAGTCTATAGATCCTATCCCGTCTCGCGTTACACTACTATACAAAGAACCAACGAACAAAATAAATCGAACATAAAAGAAAAGAAGAAAAAATTTCAAGAAAGCAGCGACGAAAAGACGAGACGAAAAAAAAATATAGCCAACAAGGGGATATTTTTGTTTTCTAGAAGCTTGCGTCGAACTCGGGCTTTGCGGGCCCCACCTTGGTCCTCATCTCGACGACCTTCTTGTGGGAGTTGGAGTGGAGGGCGGGGACGAATGTGGGGCTCGCGGCGGGGCGGTACTCTGGGAACAGCCGCCCCGACTTGTAGCGGACCCCGCACGCGTTGCACAGCGTCTTGGGGCCCGTGGGCCCGGCCCTCCACTGCGGGGTCTTCGTGATCTCGCAGTGCTTGCATTTCCGCACCGGCGGGTCCCCGTGGGCCCCGCCTTCGTTGTCGTCGTCTTCTCGATTGGACGGAGGGGTTTTCTTCATTTTCTTTCTCTTCGGGATCTTGTTGGTAGCGAGGGGTGGCGCCTCCTCGACAAAAATCTCGGTTTCCGAAGAGAATTGTGGGGTGGTGTCAACGAAGGATGGTATTGTGGTCGGTCTCGGGTTGAAAGTTGAGGGGCGGGGGCGTTTGCTGCGTGCGCGTTGCGGGCCCCGGTGGGTGGGGGGGAGATGGGCGGTGGTTTGTCCGACGGAGGTGGTGGAGCTGCTGCTGCTGGTGCTCTCCAAAACGGAGACCGGGCTCGAGGTTTGGAATTGGTAGGTAGTGTGGGAAGTCGGCTCGTTCTTGTGTTCGCGCAAGTTCTCTTTTGCTGCGATGGTCATTCCTCCCCCCGAGAACGAGTCCTCCACGAAAGTTGAGAGCCATTCGAGTTGGACTATATCCTCGTACTAAAACAAAAAAAACAGGGGATGCATTAGATTTATAAAAATGAAAAAAGACTACGAGTGACTCTCTTCAAAACGACTAGAACATTCTCGTGTTTGTTTATATTTCGGGAAACGGGAGACGATAAACAATGTAGCAGTCAAATCATGTCTAATACAAATCATGTCTAATACAGTTGGAAAAAGGTTTAGATGAAAACTAAAATAAAATTTTAATGGTGAATTGAGATGTGACACCTAACTTACCAAAGATTAAGACAATTTGCCAAATTATTTTTTTGAAATTTTTAAGGCATTCAATTTCTTTTTCTTTTAGCAATCATGTAAATTATTTTATGTAGTTAAGGTCCCACTTACATGTGCTCAAAATAATAATACTGCGAAATTTCAAAAAATAGTTGTCGTTTTTCAGAATTTCGTATGGGAAATTATTATTGCAAAGCAAAAATAATTAAAAAGAACGGTGGGGCTCACCGGAACAGAGAGCTCAGCCGACAGGTCGGAGGCGGCATTGGCGGAGAAAAGATGGTCGGATTCCGGCAAAGCGTCGTCGTTCCACATGCTCGGAAAGTCCTTGGAACTATCGGAATTTACGAAAATGCCACCGACATCTTCATTGTCAGGTGGGAACTCAATCAAGTCATCAATTTGATCAAAGAAGTTGCCACAGTCAATTTCATCCATGAAATTTGGTTCCATTTTCCCTGAAATTATTTAAAATTAAAAAAATAATTTAAAAAATGTGGCACTTTACTGAATGCTAACGTACGCATGATAACAGGGAGGGGAACCCACTCGTGACTCATGAGGTGCATGTTAGCAGAAATGGTTATTTTTAGTTTAAAGCAATTTTTGGAATTTTGTTACCATTTTAACATAAAAAGTCTAAAGAGTTTCACTCAGATTCTGCAAATCTTGTGAAACTTTTAATATATAAATAATATTCCATCCGATTGTTGTATTATTCGCCGTTTTCGGTTTTTCGGGTTTTCGGGTGTACTAATAAAAATGTATGAAATTTAAGAAAAATGCACTTATAGTACTAAATTTCAAATTTTATTGCTAATAAATGTATCATTATAACTATCTGAAGTGTAACAGATAATATGAAATAATTTTTTTTCGGAAAAAACAAAAGTTAATTAATTTGAAAGAAAAAAAGGGGTATTGACAAACAAAAAAGTAAAAGAAGGAATTAAAGGATCAAACCTTGAAGATTCTTTAGTTGTTTTGTAGGCAACACAAAAAAATGCAGAAAAGCTTAGAATTCAGTCTCCTACAAGATTTTGCCTGCAAGAAGAAAAAAGGGCAAAATGGTAAATTTTCAAGAATTATTACAAACAATTAATTGCACAAGAAGTAGAAGTGTTTCTCAGACAATAATAGTTAACTCACAGAAAACTGAAAATGTGAAGGAAAAAAAAAAAAAAGATAACATTTTTTTTGTCTGAAATTGTGAAATAGTTAAAATTACCCATAAAGACTGATACTTGAAAAAAAAAAAAAAAAGATTACATTTTTTGTTGGGTCTGAAATTGAGAAATAGTTACAATTTCGCCATAAAGATTGTAACTTGCAAAAAATACAAACAAAAACCCCATTAATCTGGCAATTTCATGTTTCAAACCTGGGAGAAAATTATATATACATATATATAT